AAAAATTGACAAAGACTGAAGAATATGAAAGAGAAGATAATATGTACTATTGAAAATACATATTGCCCAAAGAATGGGGGATTTTCATCCAAAGCCAATATTTTTCCAAAAGTAGAAGTTCGCAGGAAATCAATCTCGACGGTCTCCAGAAAATCGATGATAAACTCGGTATGTTGTATCTTGTGGTACGAGTAGACCCGTTCGTGAGATGGTTCTTCACGGTGACAAACATGCTAGACGGAAGGTTGGGTTCTATAAATGTAAAAAAAGCTAAAAAGGAGAAAATGGAAAGATAAAGTTGTGAGATAAAGGGGTTAAAGTGAATTTTAAAACACAACAAATATAGTAAGATGAATAAATAGTATCATGAAAATTGGCGAGGTAAAAAATGAGATCAGATTGTTCTTTTCTGGGGAAATACAGTCACGTGTTCTCGAACAAGCTAATAGACCCAATCCTCAAAGAAAATGGTTAATGTCGACTTTGAAGTCCAACTCGCTAATACAAACCAGAGTTGGGAAGATATGGGTCAGGAGATGTATGTATAGGGGTAAATATGGAATAGAAAAACTATACAGTAGGGCATGGACATGGACAAGTGGCTAATATGGAGTCGATATAGAGTCACGTCACCACTTGTCTCTTAACAAACAACTCACCTATGAATTAAATATGTACATGTATTGTATATATATCAAATTTTATGGGTTTACAAAACATAACACTTTCGTCCACCACGCAAAACCTTACAAACCATACATTTACACCTCTGAACTTCTTTTCTTTTTGTAGACAAATATTCAATGAGAACTCAACATGTTATAATAACAAAGGCCTTAGAAAAGTGGACTCTTGATTTCCAATCCTGGATCGTATACCGAAGTGTATTGTTCGGTGCAAGCTTNGGGTTTACAAAACATAACACTTTCGTCCACCACGCAAAACCTTACAAACCATACATTTACACCTCTGAACTTCTTTTCTTTTTGTAGACAAATATTCAATGAGAACTCAACATGTTATAATAACAAAGGCCTTAGAAAAGTGGACTCTTGATTTCCAATCCTGGATCGTATACCGAAGTGTATTGTTCGGTGCAAGCTTGAAGTGGCCGAACTTTTGTCTAGTCACCGGTGGAATGTTGTGTTTCTCAAGCCGCGCTAAAATCGCTTTCTTTTCGTACGTGAATCCATCAGCTCATGCATTCTCGGTTCCTCCATTATCTCTTGTTTTTTGCAAAAAAAAGAAGTTAAAACTGGTCAGTGATTTAGGTTACAAAAATAAATAATCTGTTTTTATACTAAATTATTATACTGAGTTGGCTAGAGTAAAAATGTATGGATTATTTCAGCGATTCAGACAATCTAAACAACGGGTTTGTGTTAAGCAGAAGCTTTATCAATGATCTTAGAAAACTTATATAAACACATGCATGCAGGCTTAATTTCATACAGTAACCAGATAAATAGATAATAAGACCTTACAAACCATATTTTTATCTGAACTTTTTCTGTAGAAAGATATTCAATGAAAAAATCAACATGTCATATTAACAACGGCATTAGAAAACCGGACTCTTGATTTCCAGTCGTGGATCGCAGACCGGAGTGTATTGTTTGGTGTGAGCTTGTAATGGTCGAGCTTCTTTCTAGTCACCGGTGAAAAGTTATGTTTCTCAAGCCATGCTAAGATCGCTTTCTTCTCATATGTGAATCCATCAGCTGCAATCTCTGGTTCTTCCATTACCTCCTGTTTTGCAAAAGAAAAGTATATCAAGCCCGGTTAGAACTTTTGGTAACTAAATGCATGCACTGAACAAGATAATCTTTTTACTCACTCGTAAAATGGGACAAAAATAATGACTTGGTGCACGCAAATTGCTTTGTTCGTTCTTTATTATTGAATCCGCGGTCTCTACAAGCCGTTTTAAAGCCGGTATAACCTCTTCTTTAAGATCCGGTCTATCACGGCATCGAAATTCCGCACATCTTAAACCAATTTGTGCTAATTCCTCGGTTTCTATCAAAGGCCAATCTCTAACCGATTTGTCTAGAATTTCGGTTAATGTTCCTTTATTTACTGCGTTTTCAACCGCATAAACAAGCCCACTTGGCTGACGAGCCGTCAACAGCTGAAGAATGGTTATCCCAAAAGCGTAAAGATCTGATTTGGGTCTAAATGTTCCGGTATGATGGTACTCCGGGTCAATGTAGTGCAATGTACCGGCAAGAACTGGTTCCTTATACGTCGTGACATTATCTGGTGCAACATCCGTAACCAGCTTTGCTAGACTAACATTTCCGATTTTGCTCACGTAGTTCCGGTTTAACAGGATGTTTCCTGGTTTTAGGTCGCGGTGAACAATTGGTTCCGGTTTAGAGCTGTGTAAGAAGGCTAAACCGCAAGCTACTTCAAAAATTACCTTAAAGCGGATAAACCAAGGCAAAGACGGTTTATTATTCTGGTGGAATATATATTCTTCAAGACTTCCATTTTCCATATACTCGTAAACTAGACAACCATTCTCCGGACAAGCTCCGAGTAGAAGAACTACATGTGGGTGTTGGAGTTGGCTTAGAACCTCAACCTATAATGTAATAATATCAAACCGTAAATAAATCAATCCGGATTGGACCAAACAGTTAACTAAGAAACAACATTAAACAACACTGATCATAGTTTATGGTTTAGTTAATTACCTCTTTTAAGAATTCTTGTTTCTTCTCAGACGTATCTAGTTGGACAACCTTAACAACCGCCGGTGTACTATCAAAACTGCAACGGTAAATTTTTCCATATCCTCCTTCTCCAATAGCTTTTTCCGGCGAGAATCCATCGGTGGCTGTAACGATCTCTCCGATTGTGTATTTCTTATACTGTTGATCCGTTTCTAAAGGCTGATCATCGATCACTTTCTCCTTCTCCAAGTAAGTCCTTAAAGCATTTGTCTTTGCCATTTTTCGCTGAGAAAACTCTCTCTCACGCAACGAATTCGCCTCTTCTACCTCTTTAACCGCCTTCATAGCATTGTTCACTTTTCTAGCGTCTTTCGAGCATTCAGATAGCAAAACTTGAACCTAGTAGAAACCCCAATAGAAATAGTTTACTTGACGGACAAGCAAACAAAATAATTCACAACTTTTTTAAAAAAAAAATCCCAATCAGAGGTCGAAAGCTAATTATTCACACGTGTGTAGACGATGTTTGGAAAATCATCCGTACATAAAATGAGAAATATTGGAAAATATACTCGAAGATCATAATATTGATGTGATAGCTAAATTTTAGTTTGTTAGAAAAAAAACCTAAATTTTTAGGGAAAGAAAATAAGACAAGCTGGGGTCAAATTAAGTGCAGTCGTAATAGTTGTATGCAAATGTACCTTGTTCTGTGTGGAGGAAAGCTCTTCACAAGCTTGTTTATACTTAACAACCGTATTTTCTAGCTCCTTTTTCAATTGCACGACCTCTGCTTCAATCTCAACCTGTCAAACAAACACCAAATCTATTAAACTTTCTTATAATTACTAGTTTTATTATTGAATGAAAAGATGATAAAATACCTTCTTGGGTACGGGTGGCAAATCAGATCCTCTTTGTTCTCGGACGACGTTCTCTAGACTCGATTGGGATTCGGTTGTTACAGACTCTGGATCTATTGCACTTGCAGTCTTGCCACGTGGAGGCGTTTTGGGTTGACTATAGGTGAAGCTTAATGCCTCCAATCTAGTTGATGCTGACCTCGCCCGTACCTCTTCAACACCAAAAGAAATAAAAATCTCAGCTTACATACAAATCATAAGATTATATATGTATACACTATCATTTCGTATATTTCATATATGAATTTCTTACCGATTGATGAATTTGTTCGTTGCAACTTTCGAAGTCTGACTTTGACACTGAATTCATTTATATATATGTATGTAATTTTTTGTTTTACTTGGCTTGGAAGTTCAGGTTTAGTCTAAATTTTCAACTTTAAACTCTAATTAATTCATTTTAAGTCTGTACAAACTAAAAAATTACTTTATATCAATATAACCTAATATTGGTAATGAGTTTTATGTTCGAAAACAAAAGTTACCCCAACTCTTTTTTAGTTTTCATAGACTATATTTAGGTTTCTGTAAGCAAATTTCTTACAACGAAATATAAATACAAAACATCAGTTTTATAAAACTAGGACATTGATTCAAGGCAGTGCAACGAAAACATAGATTTGTCACCATGATTAAAGAAGATTTGGTTGATTTTTTCACAGAAGAAAACAGACTACACAAACCCAACCTCACTAAAGTTTACAAAAAATCACCATTTTTAATATCCAAGTATTGTTTGCGCAAAATTATTTCTGAACTAATTGTTAACTTTACAAAATTGGATTTGAAATAGACAAACGGTAAAGTGTAAACGGAAAACTAACAATTTTCATGACTATTTCAAACCTAATTTTACGGAGTCGCCAATTAGTTCAGGAATAATTTTGTGCCAACAAAACTTGAATATTAAATGTGTTAATTTCAAATAGTTGAAGAATATAAAACTATATTTTTATAATGATCCATATAAATTTCTAAATAATAATATCAATCAACTTCTTAAAACCTTAATTACATGGGTACTGGGCTTAGCTTCATTGACTTGGGACTTAACTCTAATATCTTTTTTATGTACAAGTTAGAAAAGTAATTTTCTTTTAATTTTGACTATGCATTTAACTACTACATATATGGATGTCAATGGATATTTAAAATTACCTATAGATTCTCGACGAGCAGATAACGGTTTAGGCTGTACAGTGTGGAAGCTAGCCACTCCTTCTTTCAGGAAACCGCGGGCAGTCATGGCTGCTTTTAGACTTGTGCGCGGCACTGATAATAATACCGTTAAACAAGGTTTAATATATTTTTTTTTTAAAACAAGGTTTAACATCAGTTTTCTTTGTAACTATACTAGAAGTTTCTAATAGCTAAATACAGTATATATCCATAAAATTACCTGCGTTGATTAATGGCTCCATAGGTTTTGTAGTGATTCTGTCTTTATACACAATATGTACTTCACATGTTGCTGGAGCGTATTTTAAGACAGTCAATGGTACTCCTGGACCTTTTATTCTCCTAAACCAAAATAAACCGGACAGTTAGGGTAAATAACCGTGTTGTTTACGGAGAACTAAACCAAAAGGAGCTACCTTGTGAAAATATTGGAATTGAATGATCCCATAACCAAACTGTCAATTCCTGATTTGTATATGAATCGTAGTAGGGCCTTTGCTGGATCATCAAACTCTATCAAGAGAGTCTCTACCTCGCACTGAAGGTTACGTAACTCAGGAATTTACAGTTTGGCCCTAAAACTTCTAAAGGTTTTAAAATTGTGCTAAACGAAATGAACACACCTTGGTACTACTACTACTCTCGCACATTTTCAAGAAGGGAACAAAGACGGTTTCAAATTCTTGTTTCACGTCTCTCACATACATTTCCACCAATCTCTCATCCACTTCCTCCACCGGTAATCTCTTTCCGGCTGCCATTCTCATAAACATTAATGTCGAGAAAAATGTTGTAAATACTAGTCGATTTACGGCCTAATTACATCAATCGAATATCAAATTTGATTCAGGAGAATTATATTAATGTTCAATTAGCATGGTACCCAATCAGGGATGTTACAACAGAAATAACTCTAAAGTTTAAACGGTATTTTGAAGATTTTAATAACAATTCATAGTTGTGTTATAAATTCATCTGAAATTATATAAAACTTAACGAAACTCAAATCGTTCGACTGAATACACTTGTACATTTTAATAACATTTCACAATTGTACCTACATGATTCTAAATAATTTTTTCCTTTTGTCTTTTTTTTGGCATTTCAATTGATTCATGTGGAAAATGAATTCTATCAATTTGAGAGACTTACTAGGGGTAGGGATGGTGGTAATGGAGGGGATGATGTGGATCATCACAAACCGACCAGCCTTAGGTAATAAATTATCGACGGCCCACCGTACGGCACGCCGGCTTCCTGCGCCGCCCAATTTATCTCCGATAATACCTTTCACGGCTACTGCCACAAACAACTCGCCCTCCTCCGCCATTGAGCCACCACCACCGACGCTCATATCTCGACCCTCTTGCTTCAACGTTGCCACCATCTAAATCAATTTACTTATGGTGGCTCAAGTAACCCGAAAACATGTCTCAAAATTTGGTTGATATATACGCTGTTACAGAGATGGGTATCTCTCATAGTATATACTATTAATATCATTGGAAAGTTGTTCTAGGATTGTTTCCGTCTTGAATTGGTCCTTTTTTTTATTGACAAGGATAATTTGCCTATTTTACTTTGGGAACAAACAAATGATAGTTTTTTTTGCTTAAACAAACAAAAGATAGTTTGCTCGAGGGTGGGAGTTTCTGGTAATCATGGTGCTGCAGTCACGAATATATAGTTTATTATAAAATAAATTATAGAAATATACTAAGGCAAACGCAAACAGAGGAAGTAATCTACTGGATGGAGTCATGGAGATGGCCGTCAAATGCTTAACTTTTTTTTTTGGACTGATGTTTAATTATACTTTTGAAATCAGAGTTTTGTTATGGACGGCCATTTAGTTATTTTATATTTAATTATAAGTGTAGAACATAAGCATAATATATAACTAATATTTAGTTGACATGTAATTTACGAAAAATACCATTTTTTATTTTAAATTTTTATTAAAGATAACAATGATAAATCTTTTTTTGACAACTAAACTACAAAATAACAATTATAAATCAGTTTCTACTTAACTGACCAAAAAGTTAATTAATTCATAATATATTTCTATATCTTTCAAATCTAATTATAAATATACATTTTATCATAGATTTTTGTTAAATTTTAATATTTTTAATTATAGATTTTCATAAATAATATTAAAATGTTATTAAAATTAAGATTATATTAAACTTTAATAACAAAACTAAAGACACGTATTTATGCTTATCAATTATTGTCTTTATGTAAGTGGAAAACAAAACTAAAATATTATTTTGTTGTAATCAAATTCAGTGTTCTGTTTTTTATACATCAAAACTAAATATTTTATTAATCATATTTTGTAGCCGGATAAAATGGAGACCTAAAGTTAGACGGTAAAACAATTGTTATGAGTTTTCCGAGAAAGAGATATATGTTTGGAAATAAATAACAACTTTTAAATACCAACACATAATACTTTTATTTTTTTTTAAAATAAATGTGTTACTTTCACATTTTTTTTCTTATTACATAAAAAGTGTCATTTTAGAATTCTAATGTAATTTTCACTTAATTTCAGCTTAATATTAATCTTAAAATGTATTGATCTAGAGATAAACTTATTTATGTCAAATACTATTAATTAATAAATGTAAAACTAAATACATTTCAATCAATTTTTTTAATATGGGTTAAATGTGTCTAAGTAACACTTTTATGAAATGGAGGGAGTAATATAGTTACTATATTTGATCTATTCGTATTACTTGTATTTGGTTTGAAATACTTTTTCTTTAAAAAAAAAAATATATATATATATATATATATATTTGTAATATGACAAAATAAAAGGTAAAACTAAAGTAAAATAAAAATAATATTTTTTTATAAAAAGCTTTGAAAAAATAAACTTTTATTGAAACTTTCTGTTCAGAAGTTTTTAAGCCTTGTTTAAACATCACTTAGATAAATGTCTGATTAAAGCCTTGTATTTGGTTTGAACTTGCATTTTGAGATTCTTCTCCATCGCCTTTTCTTGTTGTAGTCATCACTGATTGCTAATCTTGAAGCTCAAAAAAGTCGGTAAGACAAAAAAAAAAAAACAGATGAATAATAGATAGACTCATACGCAGAAATTTTAATAGTTGAATATGTTCTGTTATAAAAAAATATGTATAAAATAGTTAAACCATGAATTGCTAAAATTGCTGACAAAATTATGAGTTTCCCTTTCCAGTTTGAAGAAAGCTTTGAACTTGGAGTATATTTGTGTACCATTTAAGTACAATTTTCAACATGAATGATGCTTAAATTTAATAATAACTTTAAAATATAAAAAAGAAAAACCCGATTACGATACTTGCGGGTAACTCTAAAATTATTGGACTTTGTTCGGGAAATCCTATTAAAACTGGGTTTGATTCAATTTTGTGAATTCGAAAGATTTTTAGGTGGTTATTTTCTGGTCCGGGCCAAATAGAGTTATTTTGGCCATGAAAACATCCCTAAGCAAGACGCTGGATTTTTTTTTCTGATAAGTGTCTTCGAATCTCTGGATCACGTTTTTTCTTACTTTCGGATAAAATGAAAAACTTTTATTTACAACAGGAGATCTTGTTGACATAAGCTTGTAGATAATTTAGAATACAAGATAAGTCCTAATGAGCTTAGGATTAGGAGATCTTATACTTATACGAATATATGTTTTCCTAATGAGTTTAGGTATTTGAGTTAACTATATAAAGAAGATATCGGTGTGTGATATCTTTTAAGGGTTTTGAGGATAAGTGCTTTAGTTTTGTGTTAAGTTTCTAAAGCAATAAAGAGATTTGAGATTTGAGTTCTTGAGTGTTCAACAAGTTTAGATTCAATAATTGGTATCAGAGCAATTTTAATCTAAACCTAGAAACATCCAAGAAAAGAAGAGAAACGTTGAAGTTTTTGAGATAAAACATGGAAGGAAAGGATCTAGCCATAATCAAACCAAAAGAGTTCGGTTCATCAAGCATTGTTCTTCCGATGCTCAATGCAACAAACTATACGGTGTGGAGCATGAGAATGCAAGTGGCGCTACAGGTGCATAAGGCATGGGAAGCAATAGACCCTGGATTAGAAGATGGAGATAAAAACGTTCTTGGGAGAGCACTATTATTCCAATCAATACCAGAAACCCTACTTCTAACGGTTGGTCACCTAAAAACTGCCAAAGAAATATGGGAATCAATAAAAGCAAGGCATGTTGGAGCAGAACGAGTCCGAGAAGCTAGGATATTAACAATAATGGAAGACTTTCATAGACTAAAGATGAAGGATACTGAATCGATTGATGAATTCTCAGGGAAACTTGCAGAATTATCTTCTAAAGCAGCATCCTTAGGAAAAACTATTGAAGAACCGAGATTAGTAAAGAAGTTTCTAGCCAGTCTTCCTAGGAAGAAATATATCCACGTGATAGCAGCTATAGAGCAATTCATTGACCTAAACTCCACCAAGTTTGAAGAAATTGTTGGTAGAATGAAGGCATATGAAGAAAGAATAGTTGATGAGGAGCAACAAGAAGATCAGGCTAAACAACTTCTATACGCAAATATGGACTCTCAAAGCCAACAAGACAATTATAGAGGACGTGGACGAGGTGGCCGGTTTGGAAACAGAAGTAGAGGTAGAGGACGATGGAACAATCAAAGAGACTGGAAGGATGGACGAGATACATCAAAAATTGTGTGCTTCAGATGTGACAAAACTGGTCATTATGCATATAACTGCCCGGACAGGTTACTTAAGCTGCAAGAAGCCTCTGAGAATGGTGATGACAACACACGAGATGCAGATGAGTTGATGATGAACGAGCTTATATACCTTAATGAAGAGAATGTCACACCAAGCAAGTTTGGGACACACACAGACAGAGATAACATATGGTATTTGGACAATGGAGCTAGCAATCATATGTCTGGAAACAGAGACTACTTCTGCAAATTAGATGAGAAGGTAACAGGAAAAGTGAGATTCGGAGATGACTCTCGAATAGATATCAGAGGTAAAGGAACGATTATCTTCATCACAAAGGATGGCAAGCGGAGAAGTCTAGCTAATGTTTATTTCATACCTGATTTAAGAAGCAACATCATTAGTCTAGGTCAAGCTACAGAAGCAGGATGTGATATAAGGATGAAAGATCATTACCTCACACTCTATGATCGAGATGGAAACCTGCTGGTGAAAGCAGTCAGGTCCAAGAATAGACTCTACAAGGTAACAATGGAAGTTGAGAATAACAAGTGCCTGCAACTTAAAACTTGTGGTGATTCAGCGACTTGGCACGCACGATTAGGACATGTTGCCTTGGAAACTATGAAGAATATGATAAAGGAGGAGCTAGTTACTGGATTACCAGCCATAAGTGTTGAAGAGAAGATATGTTCTTCATGTTTAGTTGGAAAGCAGACAAGACAAAGCTTCCCACAAGCAACTCTTTTCCGAGCAACCCATATTCTTGAACTATTCATGGTGACCTTTGCGGTCCAATCACACCTTCAACTGCAGGAAAGAATAGGTATGTTTTCGTACTGATTGACGATCATACGCGCTACATGTGGACTATATTATTAAAGGACAAGAGTGAGGCTTTTGAGAAGTTTAAGAAGTTTAAACAGACAGTAGAACAAGAAACAGGAAACAAGATCAAAACATTGAGAACAGATAGAGGAGGAGAATTCTGTTCCTCAGAGTTTCAAGAGTTCTGTGACAACCAAGGTATAAAACGGCATCTAACTGCACCGTATTCGCCACAGCAAAATGGAGTGGTTGAGAGACGCAATCGCACTCTAATGGAGATGACCAGAAGCATATTGAAACACAAGAATGTGCCACTTTACTTATGGGGAGAAGAAGTTAGGCACTCAACGTATTTAATCAACAGAATTGGAACAAGAACGCTGAAGACACAAACTCCATACGAATGCTTGAAGGGAAAGAAACCGACAGTTGATCATCTACGAGTCTTCGGATGCATATGTTACGCAAAGAACACAAAGCCACATCTCAGCAAGTTGGAGGATAGATCAATGGCCTTAGTACATTTGGGAATAGAACCAGGCTCTAAGGCCTATCGACTCTATAATCCGATCAATCACAGGATTTTGGTAAGTAGAGATGTTATCTTTGACGAAGACAGTGGATGGAAGTGGGATAGTACCGAAGTTGAAAGTGGTGAAACTAGAACAATTACGCTTCCTACTTGCATTGAGAAGTCTGGAGATGATAGCAGTGATACTCTTGAGGAGGACAAAGAGCCTAGTGAACATGAAGACACAGTAGAAACAGAGCAGCCAAACTTGAGAAGATCAACGAGGGAAAGTACAAAACCAAGTTATTTGGACGACTATGTACTAATCTCTGAGA